CTACATAATAACAGGCAATGGAAAGCCATTGGATAACAAGTTAATGAATAAGATTTGTGATCTCTTTGGCTTTAAGCAACGCAAATCTTCTATGTATCATGCTGCTGCCAATGGTCTTGCTGAAGCATTCAATAAGACCCTAAGCAACCTCCTGAAGAAAGTTGTCTCCAAGTCCAAACGGGATTGGCATGAAAAAATGGAAGAAGCTTTGTGGGCATATAGGACAACATACCGCACACCAACTCAGGCAACACCATATTCACTTGCATTTGGAGTTGAAGCAGTCTTGCCACTTTAGCGTCAAATACCTTTCTTAAGACTTGCTATTCAAGAAGGGCTCACCGAAGAAGAAAATGCTCGACTGCATCTTGCTGAGTTAGAAGCACTTGATGAAAAGAGGTTAGAAGCCCAACAAAATCTTGAATGTTATCAAGCTCGTCTATCTCGTGCTTTCAATAAGAAGGTTCGCTTGAGGTGCTTCCAAGTTGGAGACCAAGTTCTCGCGGTAAGAAGACCCATTATTACTTCACACAAGTCTGGGGGGGGAATTTACCTCAAAGTGGGATGGACCATATGTCGTACAAGAAGCATATTCACATAGTGCTTACAAGCTTGTTGATGCAAATGGCGTAAGGGTCGGTCCTATTAATGCAAAATTCCTAAAGAGGTACTACCCTTGAAGTAAAATAATTCTCTTTAAGGTATGAGCCTAAACTGCATGTCACTCCTGGCCCGCAAGAGTATAAACTGTGTATGGCACAACAAAAAAAATCACTTACTTCCCCAAAACTACGTTGTGACTTAATCCTCTTCATTGAGGTACTTAGGCGCTTAGAATGTATCCTAAGTTTTGTTGCATGAGTGTAAAAAAACCACATGTTCCCACTCGATCTGTCACATGACAGTCAAAGCGATAAGTATTTTGTTTTATCTTTTGTCTTATCAAACTTTAGACTTGTACGAAGTATTGATTGGTCAATAGATGGGGGCAAACTCTTATAAAATATGAGTTTCTTTAACAACATGCTTGAAGTTTCTTTAAATTCAGCCTAGTATACAAACTGAAGTCTTCAAATTCTTCAAGTCTGCAAGTTGAAGTCTTCAAAATTAAAAAAAGAATCTACAAGTCTAGAAGTTGAGGTCTTTAAATCAATCAAGTTTGCGAGCTAAAGTCTTCAAATTCTTCAAGTCTGCAAGTTGAAGTCTTCAAAATTAAAAAAAAAATCTCCAAGTCTAGAAGTTGAGGTCTTCATATCAAATCAATCAAGTTTGCAAGCCGAAGTCTTCAAATTCTTGAAGTCTGCAAGTTGAGGTCTTCAAATTCTTTACGTCTACAAGTTGAAGTCTTCAATTCTGTAAGTTAAAGTCTCAAATCAATTAAATTTTCAAGTTGAAGTCTTCAAATTCTTCAATTCTACAAGATGAAGTCTCAAATCAATCAAGTTTCAAAGTTGAAGTCTTCAAATCAATCAAGATTGTAAGTTGAAGTCTTCAAATTATTCAAGTCTGAAAGTTGAAATTTTCAAGTCTTGACCATAAAGTTACCTTTCCTTAAGGTGGGGATGCGTATTCATCCTCTTTTCACCTTAAGGATACCATAAAGTTATCTTTCTTAAGGCGGAGATGTGTATCCTTCCTCTTCTAGCCTTAAGAATACCATAAAGTTACCTTTCTTAGGGCGGAGATGTGTATCTATCCACTTTTGCCTTAAGAATACCATAAATTACCTTTCTTAGGGCGGGGATGTGTATCTATCTACTTTCGCCTTAAGAATACCATAAATTACCCTTCTTAGGACAGGGATGTGTATCTATCCGCTTTCGCCTTAAGAATACCATAAATTACCTTTTTTAGGGTGGGGATGTGTATCTATCCGCTTTCGCCTTAAGAATACCATAAATTACCTTTCTTAGGGCGGGGATGTGTATCTATCCGTTTTTGCCTTAAAAATACCATAAATTACCTTTCTTAGGGTGGGTATGTGTACCTCTCCGCTTTCGCCTTAAGAATACCATAAAGTTACCTTTCTTAGGGCAGTGATGTGTATCTATCCGCTTTTTCCTTAACAATACCATAAAAGTTACCTTTCTTAGGGCGGAGATGTGTATCTATCCTCTTTTCGCCTTAAGAATACCATAAATTGCCTTTCTTAGAGCGAGGATGTGTATCTATCCTCTTTCGCCTTAAGAATACCATAAAGTTACCTTTCTTAGGGTGGGTATGCGTATCCATCCTCTTTTCGCCTTAAGAATACCATAAAGTTACCTTTCTTAGGGCGGGGATGCGTATCCATCCTCTTTTCGCCTTAAGAATACCATAAAGTTACCCTTCTTAAGACGGGGATGAGTACTCATCCCTTTGTGTCATAAGACTACCTTCTCCATGGATCATCCTTTGAAGCCTACCTACAAAAAGGGGGGAAGACAACACAAAGAAAACACAAGTAGAGGAGAAATTGTTACATGTCAAGACGTTTGAGACTTGAAAGTCATGCTAAGCTAACTAGGTTAGACTTGAGACAATATTTTCTTGGTGATAACGAAGCCTTTGAAGTATAATTTCAAGCTATCACAACCCTTTTTGATGACGATGTTCTAACATTGAGATATAAAATATTTTGTGAGGCAACAAAAATCTGAAATCAGCTACATGACAGAATTTAAAGTTAACATCAAAAAATCATCTAGAAAGATTCTGAAAGTATTAAATCTTGAATTTCGGATATGTTGTATACCTTTCACAAGAGTTTTAGTAAAGTCACACAACTCTGAAATTTTCAGCATGACAGAATCTAGAGCTAACTTAAAAATATCATCTAAAAAGATTTTGAAGGTATTAAATTCTGAATTTGGGATATGTTAGAGATCAAGAAGTCTAGTTTCTGGAAAATCAAACCGTTCATGATTTCGAATTTTCTACAATGAGATATGAATTTTCTACGACAGACGTGTCAAGCTGTTAAAAAGTGACGAAAATCAGATAAAGGAAGGAAGACTACCTTGAATTAGGCCCCTTTCGTCATAGGCTCGTGGCTCACAATCTGTAATTGAAGAAAAAATTGTGGATACAATGTGTCTATTTATAGATGTCATGTGGTGGGAATAAAATCCTTCTCCTAGTTCAATTACAATTCTTTTTTGGCTAGGACAATAGAAAAGGAAATGAATTTGAAATTGAGTGGGACTACAACTCCTAGTTCAACTACATTTTGATCTTAAATGGCATCATAAAATCCCTCTCCTAGACTAATAGCAATTTCTTTTTGGCTATGCTAAAGTAATTGATGGAAATGCTGTCCTAGTCAAATTGGTTTTCCTATTGCTTTTTAACAAGCATTTATTTGCCTCCTATCATGATTCTAATTGGCCAAATATATGTTTGAAAGTGGTAGACTCACGTGCCCACTCCAATTACATGTATTGGAGTCGGACAATAAATTAAACATTGCATGAGCATGGTAAATAAATTAGTATTTAATTAATACTTCAAGTCTAGTCTTCGGAAGATAAAACATCTCGACAAGACTTGAAGCAGGGGGCATTTGTAATCATTTAAAATTTATTAAATATAAATTTATAAAATGATTCGAATTATATTAAATTCAGAAATATATTAGTCCAAATAAATATTATGGATTAATATAATTGAGTTAATTATTTGAGTTTAATAAATATGGATTTAATTAAAGTCCAAATTAATTGATTTGGGCTACAATAAGCCCGGTTTGCTAAGCCCAATTTCATCTCATCCTAGAGTCCCATTTTTTAGTGTCACGTGGCAAATGACGTGGCATGCCAAGTCAAACCAGAAGCCAATAGGATCATGACATGTGTCAAAGATGACAAGTCCGCTCCATAAAGCTCATATGTCATGTCACTTAAATCTGATTGGCCGAAGGGAATCCTATTCCTATCACAACTCATCTATTCTAAAACTATAAATAGGGGTCCTCATAATTCAAAAAAAAAAGAACCAAGAATTTTAACAAGAAGCTAGAGAAAGCTTGTGGATCAAAAGCCACAGATTTCTATACAAGTTCAAGGGTTCAAGAATTCAAGCATTCAAGTTTCAAGAACGATCAAGATCAAGACCGCCGGATTCAAGACCAAGCTCGAAGCCCTTGGATTCAACTAAAAGTCAAGATCAAGATAAAGTTCAACATCAAGTCCAAGTCCAAGTTCAAGATAACGATCAAGATCAAGATAAATCCCAAGTTCAAAATTAAGCTCAAGAGCCCATGAATTTATATTCGAAAAGATGAATTCAGAGGAATCATAGAGATTGTAACACTCACATTTTGAAATAATAAAACGATTGTTGCATAATTTTCCGTTCTTGATTATTGTTTTCTCGACGCAAATTTTATTGTCTACAAAAAGATTACATTAAAAAATAGCTATAATTACAATTATTGTTTTTTTTTTCATAAAATGAATTGTCTCAACAAATTGTAATAGTCTGTGCTTGTCTATTGTTGACTTTGCACACTTCTTAAAAAACTATAAATAGAAAGGTAACTTTACCATATTACCCTATGAACAATGTCTTAAAAAATGTAATAAGAAAATGAGTATAATTAGTAATAAGGGTAAATTAAGAACTAAGTGTATAATTTATCCATTAATTTTATAAAGTAGATAAGTATTGTTGGACATTTTAAAATAATATATTGTACAATTATTATTGGACGGAGGAAGTATATTTTTGAGAAATGCTATAATGATATGACATCAAAAGTGAAGAGTGCGCGCGACTTAGGTAATTTAAACTTTCACCCCAAACTTCTTTCGAAATCTGATTTTTCAAAAATATCAGAAATTTATGGCTCACCAACTCTGTGTTTTTTTTTTCCTCTTAAATTTGATCCGATAAAGTAAGGATACTTTTGCCGTACTAATAGCAATGTTCAAGTCCGATAGTCTCCTTTAAGTTCCCACCAATAACCCGGTTGACTGTAAAAGACTTTGTATCCATCAAGCAATCTGATAGCAAAGACAACAATGGCGTCTCCAAGCTCAAATCCCCAGATCCACTTATCAATGGTTAATGTAGCAAACTTTGTATCCATCAAGCTATGTGGTGAATCCAACTACATTCCATGGAAAACCCAGATTATTTGTCTCCTTCAAAGTCATGATTTATTTGGATTCGTTGATGGAACAATCCAATTTTCTCTACAGACCATTGCTCCTGGCGATGACGATGACGATGAGCCCAAAGAAGAGGAAAAAGGGGAAGAGATGGGAAATGAGGAAGATAAATTGCAAAGGAAAAGGAATGATGGGTTTGTTAAAGGATGGATCTTCGGTTCTCTTAGTGATCAACTTCTTCAGGATAAAGCGGTTCATAAATTAGATTCGGCTAGAGAGGTTTGGTTGGTTTTAGAGAAACTTTACAGCCCTAAATCTCAAGGTACGAAATCCCCATTCTGCTACTACTATAAAATTTTGTACTATTGAAACCTCCCCTAATCTAACCTAGTATATTTGTTTTCTAGAAATATAAATTCATAAAAGTTATCTCTTTGTTTTAAAAAGACCTAATTTCTTTTGGAAAAATCTTTTGGTCAGAAAATTTGGCCAGAATTTGATCAAAATGATATTTTATCTATGTTATTTTATTTTTTTGAACATTTTCATCCTTTTAACTTTAATTCTTTTTAACTAAAAAAGGAAAAAGATTAATTTATTTTAAAATAAAAAAAATATTATGAACTTTTTAATTTTCTAGTCAAATTCTAGTCTAATTTTCTGGTCATTTAGCATTGCTCATTTCTTTTTTAGTCTCTTTCAAAAAAAAGTTATCCCCTATTTTTGTGCAATACCTTTAACTTTAATTTTTCACATGACATGTTTAAGACTATAAAATTAGAGGTCATTTTGATACATTTGACATAACTTTAGTTTATTATCATAAGATTGAATTCTTTTTTCTTTTTTTAAACTTTGTTCCAAATCAAACTAGATCACTTTTTTTGAAACGGAAGAAGTATTACCTAAAATAATTTGGAAGCCTCGAAGAAGGAGAAATTCTTCTTTGAAATTTGATTAAACAAACTCTAAATGATCAGATTTTTAAAAAGTATAATGGGAGTAAAAACATAATGGAAGCATTGATTTCATACTTGCTTTTTTCTAAAATTCACCATATTAAGTTGTTATTATTATTACTCTCTCCGTTTTAAAATAATTGAATTATTAAGACATTTTTTATATAAAGACATAAAATCACCACTGAAATTGTTTCGAATATTCAAAAAAACACCTTAACTTAGTGGACGTCCTATTATCCATAAAAAATATTAAATATTTTTGTAAATAGTCCATTCTGGCCCATTTTCCCCCAACAAAAAATATTAAATATCTTTGTAAATAGTCCATTCTGGCCCATTTTCCCCCAACGTTTGTGAACACGTAAATATCAGCGCGTGAACATGTCAATTTACTTCCCAAAACCAATTTTAAAAATGTCATATTTCAGTTAATTTCTCTATTAATTAATTAATCTTTAAATACATCATCTTCCCCAAATTTTCAACAGAGTTTATTCTTCAGATCTGCGATCAAACACACTGTAAATTGCGATTTCATCCAAAAAAGACGAACACGATAGTTTCACAATACAAGGTATCATTGTACAAGAGAGAACACAAATTTTGGTAATTAACGACACAAATCAAAATTAGAATCTTTGTACTAAATTTCGACAACAATGTCTATCATTAATTAAGACACTAGCTTCCCCAAATTTTCAATAGAATTTAATTTTTGAGTTTACTATCAAACTTACTGTAAATTACAATTTCATATGAAAAAGACGAACACAAAATGACGGTACAGCGATCTTGACCTATCTTTATTTTTCTAGTGGTGGATGGGTAAATCAGCTTCCATTGTCGCCGAAGCTCAAAAACATATATCCCTAAACATGTGTTTCCCCAACAAATCACAAATACATGAAGAAAATAATATGGTTTTTATCAAATACTAGATAAATATGAAATCCTAACCTCCTATTAATCTTCAATCCCTTGTTGATTTAGTTAAAATGTCGAGCAAATTTTAATGAAAAAGAAGAGAGAATGTGAAAAATGAAAAAGAAAAGAGATGGAAGTGCTTTTGTTAAGATTCGGGTTGGGTTATCCTCACTTTTATTTATTTTTTAATTTAATTAAAATGGGTCAAGGGGATGGCCATCACGTGCTCTTCATAGATGAGAAAATGGGTCAGAATGGTCTATTTTCAAAGATATTTAATAATTTTATGGGGTAATAGGACGCCCGCTAAGTTAAGGTGTCTTTTTGAAGATTCGGGACAACTTTAGTGGTGATTTTATGTCTTTTCTCTTCAAATTAACTTAATTGTTCAACCTTCAAGACTATTTTCAAAATATTCTTCCATTTTACCCTTCATTTGAATTTTCTATGTGATGAGTTCAAGAAACTTTAATTGTTTTGAATTACTTTAAAATTAATTTGACAATAATTAATAAGGGAAAAAATAAAAAATAATGTATAATTTATGTCATAATCTTTTTTTTTTAAAGGATGTGAAACATCCCAACAATTCAATTATTTTGAAATGAAAGGAGCATAATACTCCGCTCTGTCCATCTTTACTTTCTACTATCCTAAAAATAATGTTCAACAATACTTGTCCAGTTTGGAAAACCAAGAGATAATTTATCCTTTCTTTTTAATCTATTTTACCTTGATATTAAGTATTATTCAATATCTAGTACATTTTCCAAAAGCTTTAAAATTTGATATATTCAAAGGGTAATATTAATATTACCTCTATTATTTATTGTTTCTTTAAGGTGTGTATCAAATCAATAGTGAACAACTATTGGTGGACATAAAGAGTATTAGATAAGTTGGTTGTCTAGAAAAATAATAATTCCTTTGTTCTTATTTATATGTCATCATTTTAGATTTTACATCGCTTAAGAAACTATGTAAGTTTATCATTGTGCCCTTATTTAGTGTCTTCTTGAAGTCAAGTATTCAATAAATGAACATAAATTAATTTATTTTGATTAATTAAATTGACTGTTGAACATAAATTAATCATTTAGTTTTTCTATATTTATCAAATTCATACTTTCAAAACTAATAACTTTCGATGGTAAAATAGGAAGAGTATTGATATCTATGTATTGATTTGTGAAATGACAAATATTAAGAAATATATATTTTTAATAAGAACAACATAAATAGAAACGGAGAGAGTAATTTGACATGTTTCGTTAGTTAGATACTTTAGACTGAAAACAAGTAATTATTTCAAGACAAGGATAAATTATTTTGTGATATTATTTTAACCAACTATAAAATAACATTATTTTAAAATATATTTTAAAATTAATTATCATTTATTCCCCGTACTAAGGAGATCTTAAAGTTTTTTGTTTTAATAGAAATGTGTCTTGTAAATTATCATTGGTATCTCGAATTTTTTGTCAAAACTTACAAGTTTTATGACCAAACAATTTTTGTTGAAAATTACTTGCAATATGTATGAACAAACGGGTCCTATATAGAAAGCCACTGTTGTGTGTGCAATCTTATAACTATATGATTCTTAGCCATTTCCGGATACAATTTGGTGAGCTTTAATTAGGGGGCAGGGGGTTGAAGGAGAAGAAAGAGGAGTGATCCATGCCACATCAGTGGTTTGTGTCTAATCGGTACACCATGAGCTAATATTAGGTGGTCGATAACTATAAACTTTAGTTCAGATATCTAAATGAAAAATTCGGACAAATTTAGGGGGTTATGTATGTATACAACAAGAATGTTATAAAATGTTTATTGACTATCTTAATTGGGAAAAACTTGCTATTAAGGATTTAAGTAGTAATGTAGTATATAGTGGTTGTATAAAGATAACATAGTTTAGCTTATTATACCTGATTAGTTATTGTTTTTATCAGAGTCTAATATCTTAGATACCTACATGTAATTACCTTATATGTCATACTTTTTTACTCCATGTTGGCATAGAACTTAAATTCATACTTAGTAAAATGGTAGCTAGCTCTTGGTTTGTCATTGTACAGATGGTAGCAGTATCAAGCGTGCTGAAAGCACTGAATCAAAGAGAGATTATAGTTGGTACTTGCCACTATATAGAGCTTCACTAAGTGGAGATTGGAAGAAAGCAGAAGAATTCTTGAAACGAGATGAAGAAGCAAGTAGAGCTCAAATCAACTCTCTTTTACAGACAGCACTCCATGTAGCAGTTGGAGTGAAGGGTGAAAAAGGCAAGCATTTCGTGAAGAAGTTGGTGGCGACTATAAAAAACAAAGAAGATTTAACCATAAGGGATTGCCTTGGTGAAACTGCTCTTCATTATGCTGCTAGATTTGGCAACTTAGACGCAGCTAAAATCCTTGCAACAAGTTATCCTCGTTTACTAGATATTGATTGTTTCGATGGTCTATATCCAATCCATTATGCAGCTGAATATGGATACTTTTCTGTGGATGTGTTTGCTTACTTCTTGAGTGTCACTAAAGACTCTGCTCCTTATACTGGCCTTAAAGGTGTTAGGCTTCTCTACAGATTAATCCACTCAGACTTGTATGGTAAGCATTCACCATCCCTTATGTTTTCTTAGTTACTTTCTCTCTTACTGTTATCATAATGTATGTATTTGGTTGACGCCGGAAAGAGGGAAAGGGATTTAGGGGATTTCTGGTTGAAATGGCAAAGAAGTTCCTAATTTTGATTAGTTGTCCAGAAATAGTAACGAATTTCGGGGAAATTAAAAATTGGGAGGCTGCTAAGTTATTACCTTCATGTAGTAGATTGATGTATTAGTTAATTGAATGAAGAATTAGCAAGAAAGTTGTTAGAAACTAATTCAGCTTGTTAGTTGAGTTTGAGAGGTAATTCTTGTAGGAAATATAGAAGGAGAATACTTTTTTTTAGAGAATGCTCAAGTTTTATATAGGCTACTTAAAGCCACTTGAGATGATTAGAAACATCAATTACATCTCCATTTATACTAGTAAAATGTAAAACCAAAGGTCTTGCACAAATAACTAGATACATGTATCACAATTAATTAGATACATGTATTACAAACTCCTAAAAGACTTCTTGAAAAACTAAGAGCTAAATATTGGAAGACTAAACATCAAGGTGTGAATGCATTAATTCCAACACTCCCCCTTAATGCATTTGCTTTACAACTCCAATGCGTTCTTGAAAATAACAAAAAAATTCTCTAGGAAGTGCTTTGGTGAAGATGTCAATAAGTTGTTCTTCTGTGTGACAATAATTGCAATTGAATTTCACCTTTCTCTTGTGCTTTTGAATATCTCCTTCTTGATTGAGTTTGGTTTTGTAAATCCACTTTAGACTTACAACTTCTCTTTCTTTGGGTATACTCAGACACTTCCAAGTATTATTTTTCTCAATCATCCGATTGTTTTTTCTTCCATGGCTTTCTTCCAAACATCATGCTTTATTGCCTCCTCATAATTTTCTGGCTCTCAACACCGGCAAAGTTACATCTCTAATAAATGTCGCTCAACATTTTTGTTTCTCTTGGAGGTGGTTCTTCGTCATCTGAATTTGAGATTTCTCCTCCTTGAGGGACATCTTCCTCTTCCTCATCCTCTTCTTGATTTGACACATCTAAAGATATGATAGAAGTATTTTCTATCTTTTTATCCTTCCAATTTCATGCTATTTTTTCATCAAAAATGTCATCTCTACTAACAATAAGTTTGTTAGTTTTGACATCGAGAAGCCTATAGCCTTTTGTCACATCACTATAACCAAGAAATATTTATTTTTGATTTTTTTTCCATCCAATTTTTGTCTTTTCTCAGCAGGTATATGAGCATAACAAATACACCCGAAAAATTTAAAACGACTTACAGAAGGTTTCATTTCACTCCAAGCTTCAACTGGTGTCTTGTCCTTCAATGCCTTTGTCGAGCACCTGTTGAGGATGTACACCGTTGTATGTACTGCTTCTGCCCAAAAATATTTTGGCTGCCCTTTCTCATTCATCATAGTTCTGGCCATTTCAACAATTGTTCTATTTCTTCTTTCAAATACACCATTTTGTTGAGGAGTGTACCCTGTTGTATGTTGCTTCTAAATGCCTTTATTTTTGCAGTATTCTTCAAATTCTCGGCTTGTGTATTCACCTCCTCTATCATTGCGAATGGTTTTGATGCTGCAACCTTTTTGCTTCTCAACAAGGGCTTTAAATTTCTTGAATGTAGCAAGTGCTTCTGACTTTTCTTTCAAGAAATAAACCCAAGTCATTCTTGAAAAATCATCAATAAAGATTAGAAAGTACCTTTGATTTTCAAGAGATGGAGTCTTCATTGGTCTGCAAATGTCGGCATGGATTAGTTTCAAAAGTACACTTGCTCTCCAAGACATCCCTTTTGGAAAAGACTTTCTATGTTGTTTTTCCATTATACAACTTTCACATGGATTCACCTTAGTATGTATCTCAGGAAGGCCTTGCACCATGTCTTTTTGCTTGAGAAGCTTCAAACCATGAAAATTCAAGTGACAAAATCTTTTGTGCCAAAGCCATGAATCATCTACCACTTCATTTTTTAATGCATTGTAATGAAATTGTCAAGGAAAATTTCTTTTTATCATTTTTACTTCAATTCCTCGCCTTCTACTTGGATTTGATGTACTTGAGCTGAGGGTCTTTCGGAAACAGCCTCTCTACCTCTACGAGGTAGTGGTCAGGTCTGCGTACACTCTACCCTCCCCAGACCCCACCTAGTGGGATTTCATTGGGTATGTTGTTGTTGTATCATCTTTACTTCAACAATGACTTGATTTGGCCCAATTTGATCATAAATTCTGCAATAATTACACAGGAGAATAACCATTTTCCATGAGTTGACCAACACTAAGCAAATTTTCTTCCAAGTCAGGAACATAAAGAACATCATGAATTTGCTTACCGCTCCCTTTTATGTTGATCGAAATGGTACCTTTACCTTTTGTAGTAACTAAGGCTCCATTCCCCATTCCCACTTAAGTAGTGATGATATTATTAATTGAGAGGAAAGCATTTTCATCTCCAGTCATGTGATTGCTACAACTACTATCAACATATCATTCATTGCTTTTTGTTAAGTATCAGATTTAGAAGCAAAGAAAAGGTTTTCTTCCCTTTCTTCCTCCTGTTTTTCACAAAAAATTGCTTGCTCCCGTTTCTTGTGCCAGCAATCCTTCTCAATGTGGCCAAACTTTTTACAAAAGTTACATTGGGGCTTGCTTTTGTGTGAACATTTTTCTGCATTGTGATTAGTCTTTTTGCAAACTTTACAAAAATGACTAGAGCTTTTCTCACCTTTTTCTTCAACCTTCTTAGAAGAACCTTCTTTTTTGGATTGTAAATTTTTTTTGTTGATTTTTTGAGAAAATTTGAAAATTCTCATTGGTTCTGGACTGAATAGTCATCTCTTTGAGTTGATCTTCACAAATAAATCTTCGCTTTTCGTGTACACGAAATGATCCAACTAGCTTTTTGATGGAAAACTTAGAAAGATGTTTCGTCTCCTCAGTGATAGCAACAATGTACTCATACTTTTCTGTGACACTAATTAAAATCTTTTCCACAACTTGTTGTCAGAAATTGTATCACCATGATTTCTCATTTCATTGACAATATTCACGACTCTTGTGCAATATTCATCCATTTTTTCAGATTCTATCATCTTCAAATTTTGGAACTCTCATCTAAGAGTTTGAAGATTTATAGTTAGTACCTTTTCGTCACCATACGCCTCAGTTTTCAGAGACTCCCAAGCTTGTTTTGCAGTCTCACAAGTAGCAATTTTCGCAAAATATGCTCTTGAGACTCCCATTTGGATTTTGCTCAAGACTTTTGCATCTTGACGATACTTAGTCTCAAGATTTTTCATCTCTGTTGCTGTAAGTTCACCGTCGTTTTCTGATTCTTCAAAGTCATTTGCAACAATAGTCCACAAACCTTCAGCTTTCAAATGTGTTCTCATTCTTATCTTCTAGTACTCAAATCAATTCCATAAAAAAATGGAGTAAGAACAACTGGAGAATCAGTACCTTCATTTGTTTTGGATGCCATATGTTTTTTTTCACCTAACCTCAGATTAAGAACAAAAACCTGCTCTGATACCAATTTATAGGAAATACAGAAGGAGAATACTTTTTTTCGAGAATGCTCAAGTTTTATATAGGCTATTTAAGGCCACTTGAGATGATTAGAAATATCAATTACATCTCTATTTATACTAGTAAAATGTAAAACCAAAGGCCTTGCACAAATAACTAGATACATGTATCACAAACTCCTAAAAGACTTCTTGAAAAACTAAAAGCTAATATTGGAAGACTAGACATCAAGGTGTGAATGCATTAATTCCAACAATTCTTTGCGGATACATGTATTCAATAATAATAGGCCTTAGCAGACAACATAAGGACATTGACGGATAGATTATACAATTATGAAATTCAATAGCAATTAGACTCAATTTCTTCTTCTTACATTCATGGCTGGAATTCTTGAACTATTCCGCTAGTTCTTGACTTAGGCCCTGTTGGGATTGACTTATTTTAAGTTATTTTAAGCCAAGACAGTTTTTAAGCACTTTTTAAATATTGTAGGTAAATTTAACAAGTGTTTATAAGCACTTACTTTTAAGTTAAAAATACAAAAAAAAAGTCAAGCAATAAGCCCATCCAAACATACTCTCAGTCTTCCAATTACTCGAACTCAATCCTTAGAGTTCCTGTTTTTGGTATCACAGGACGTCTTTTAATTTTCTTGTGTTGACCATGTACAAAGTTTTACATTCTCAATATAATATGGCCTATCACAACAGGGGTATTTATGCTTTTTTTTTATCAAGTTATTTACATAATCAATATGAACACTTAATTAGATGTAATTGAGTTTTGCATGATGGGTCTGTTGAGAAAAGAAATAGCAAAACTTTAAGAACAAATACTGAAAGTAAAAGTTCTCGATATGTGCTGAAATTTCAGCTTTTCTGTATATTAAAATCAAAAGAAAAATACTGTCTTTTAAATAAGCATACAAAATAAAAACACCACTAAGTCAGTAAGTTGGCCACTACTCCACTAACTAAGCAACAATTATCCAATATCAGAAAACTAGAAAATACTGCGACTGCTAACAGCCCAAGAAAATAAGAAATTACTAACAGATTAAATTTGACCAGGTCATACTTTGAATCAGTCTTCAACAGGGTTAATATCTTGTCATCCCTATTTCTTTTTTCAGCTTCATGTCACTATTGTTGTCTGATTTCAATTTTCAGCAAAAGTAGGTCGGCCAACAATTGTTTATGTTGCTAGGTTCTGTACAACATTATTGTTCTACTTATTCATTTATACATCACTTGTTGAGAATATCATTAAATAATAAAAATGTGTTTTCTCTAACAGTTTAAGGTTTTAGATGAGATGGTGACACACTTCAACATGGTATCAGAACAGGCAGAGATCCTGAGATCTAATCTCACTATCACCCAAAATTAAAAAAGAATTTACACATGCTTAGCCCATAAAAAAGAATCAGGCCGCACGTGAAGGTGCGTGTTGAGAATATCATTAAATAATAATAGTGTGCTCGCTCTAAGCGTGTTGAGAATATCATTAAATAATAAAAGTGTGCTATCTCTAAGCGTGTTGAGGATATCATTAAATAATATTCTCATTAAATAATAAAAGTGTGTTATCTCTAACAGCTTAATCTTTTAGATGAGATAGTCACACATTTCAACATTTCTCTACTAATTGCTAATCCATATATGTACATCTTATTTTAGTTTATTGATATACTAAGAAATTGTTGTGCAGACTATAATTAGCAAGTTTGGTTAATAGATTTTGCCAGAGAGTTGGTCGAAGAGTATCCTGATTTGGCAAAATATGATTCAGACGGAAAATCTGCTTTGAAGGAGCTTGCCATGAAGGAATTTACTTTCCTCAGCGGAAGTCATCTAAACTTTTGGCAACAATTACTCTACTATTGTGAGTGTAACCTCCTCCTTCTCTGTTTACCTAATTCAAGTTGTCTTTCACAGGAAAAAAAACAAAATAAAAAAGAAAAGAACTGATTAATCACCTTTCCCCGCTATTAAGGTGTTCCTGTCAAGTCAACTTCACGGAGTCGCCAAAGAAGACCAAACACCAATGATCTGGAGAATGACTCACAAATGGTTAAGACAAAGTATGTAAGAATTTACTTCAGGACTGGTGAGTTTTTATCATCTTCCTTTTGTTTTTTTAATATTCAAGGTATAGCAATTTCCTTTACAACAAATGTCCTCAAGAATTTAAGGAAAACTAAAGAGCAAATGAACTTATCAAAAACTAAGAATCTCATTAGCGTTCATGTACTTTTTATCTCAGTGATCAAGAAGTTGCATACCCTTATTTTTGGTGTTCTTGAAATTGTAGGTAAGATCTCCCACTGTCCTTATTCATTGATCAGTTTCTCAAATTATCTTCTCTATGTTTCAACTATGTTACTCGGATTCTACAAAAAATGTCAACGAGTGCGTGTTAGATCCTTTAAAAGTAGTGTATTTTTGGAGGATCTGCAGCAGTATTTTCGAGAGTCCGAGCAACATAGTATTTCAATACTGTGTACTTAAAGATTCTCTAACGCTAGGGGTTCCCTAATATACTCTTGTGGTTATGTCTCTTATGGGTACATATCATTTAAACCTCCTAAGTTTGCTTTAAAGATCAACTTCCTCCAACTTTAAAAAATAGACATTCTTTCCCTCATTTTTGGGTTATTAATCAACATGATTAGTTTTACTCACAGGAATCTTTCAAGTTCTTACTTACCTATTCAAATTAATCAAAACATGATTCAGGAGAAACACTATTTAGGTCCTCATCTCACTTTCATGGTGCATCCTTTCGAGAAAATTTTGGTGCACCAGATGCACCAAAATTTTGACAAGCACTATTTAGGTTTGCTAACTCGTTTGAACCCCTCAATTCATCACCCAAAAGATCCCTACAAGTCACAGATAGTTAAATCAACATATATACAAACTCAAAACATGATTCAGGATACAGTTACTCAATATGAGGGGTCGGGTTGTTACACCAAAATACTGTTCCTCCACTCTGTTGGCATCTTTCCACTCAGAAGTATAACATTGAATAACTTGTCAAGTCATTCTACATATTTCTACTCCAACTTGCTAAGGCACTTCATACCTCTTTATGAACATATTATGAGTGTAGCTAAAGTTCTTGTCTAATATTTAAGTATGAAGATCTGAAAAAAATATCATAGTATGAGTTAAAGAAGTGATCAAAATGCTCTCTTAACACTTTTGATCTCACTATATCCTGATAAGATTCCCTGGGACTATGTTGCATGGACTATTCAAAAATGTCAATGGGTATGTGTCAGATCCTCTAAAAATAGTATATTTTGTAAGAATCCGACACTGGTGTGGCAAATTTTTGGAGAGTCCGAGCAACTTAGCTCTGGGATGTCCTTAATGCATTTGACCCTGTTTAAACCTTCACCTCTCATTTCCTCCATTATACATTTATTTTTCTCCTTTTCGTGTCATTGACTTCTGGTTCAAGCCATATAAATCTTTCCCTCTAACTTTGCTGATTACCTTCTTGGATTTATCTATGCAATCTTGAAATAAATCTGCAAATTTATTTATGCCTAAGGATTTCAGATATATTTTCTAGATCAATTATGAGTTGTTTTGTGCCTACACTAATTTCTTTGTACTTTGTGTCTCGAAAAAATTGCTCTTTGTGTGTTGTTGCATTGCAGTGCCTCCTTTGAAGCACATCCGGAAGAAAAAGTTGATTCATCACAATGCAGTTAAGTATGCAGAATGCTTATGTGAGAAAATAGAAACTCTGAATGACAAAGAAGTTGACTCCATTGTCAGCCGTCCTCTGCTTGATGCAGCATGTTATGACACCTATGAGCTTGTTGAAATTATTTTCAGAAAATTTCCTTCTTTAGCTTATTGTTATGATCAAGATTCGAAGAATATATTGCACATTGCAATTGAGCATCGCTGCGAAAATGTGTTTAATTTGATCTGTCAGATGAGCCAGCTTCAGCACCAGTTGATGGTTTCCGTAGACTCCTCTGGCAACACCGTATTGCATTTGGCTGGAAAGATGGCACGAAATAAGTTAAACCTTGTCTCTGGACCAGCTCTTCAGATGCAACGAGAACTACAATGGTTTAAGGTGATTTAACTTTTGTACCATACACCCTAATCGAATTTATCTCATTATGTGATTAAGAATTAGTACTCCCTCCATCCTAAATTAGTTGTCATGTTTTCCTTTTCGAAAGCCAAATTGCCTCATGTTTAAAGATAAATTGGATTAGATCAAGTTGATATTTTACATTTAAAGTTTTGATAACCAAAACCTATACGACAAGCACTACAAGTTACAACTTTTCTCACGTTAATTTGATGAAAATATATATTTTAAAAAATGCTAGTCAAAATTCATATAGTTTGACTCTCAAAAAGTGACACATGACAACTAATATGAGACAGAGGTAAAGTTTGTCTTTCGCATTGACACTAACTACGCATTTTAATTACTGCATTATCGCCTATTACTTCCAAATCTAACTCAATTACTAGTATCACGGTCCAAGGTATACACCTTTAGTAAGATTTACTGTTTTTCCTTTTTATTTCCTAGTTAGATATGTGCTGCTGAACAGTTTCCTTTTAGTACAGCATCTCATGACCTCTTTAAGTCTAATATTTTAGATATGTACCACACCAGCCTAGACACAAGTTAGTCTGTAGAACTATCATATATTTGATATAGTAAATCTACAGTGGTAAGTTATTAGATATTATTTTTGGCACATAACGATTTTCCACTCATTTAACCAGCCTAGCTAGTTTAATATGAGGCATGAATCGAACCATTTTGGCTGATTGTTTTTTATTAATCGACTAACATCGTGTATATATATAAAAATAAATTAGGAAGTAAAGAAGATTGTACCACCTTTGTACTGGGAATCCTTAAACGGTGAGAAGAATGCTCCGTATGTGGTATTTACTGATGAACATGAGAAGTTGAAGGTAGATGGAGAAAAATGGATGAAAGATACATCAAGCTCATGCACAATCGCAGCAGCACTGATTGCTACCATCGCATTTGCTGCCGCAATCACAGTACCAGGTGGCAACGAACAACAAAGTGGACTCCCCATTTTCTCTGGAAACATTGCTTTCATCATTTTTGCAATCTCGAATGCAGCTTCATTGTTTACTTCAAGCACCTCTCTATTAGTGTTCTTGTCAGTTTTGACGTCTCGTTATGCAGAAGAAGATTTCCTGCATACTTTGCCAAGTAGTCTTATCCTGGGACTGCTAACTCTGTTTCTTTCCATAACATCCATGATGATAAGCTTTAGTGCAACGGTGTATCTCGTGTTTGGGCAGAAGAAAGCATGGGTTCTTGTACCAGTCGCAACAATGGCTTGCCTACCGATTACTTCATTTGTGCTTCTACAATTTCCCCTCCTTGTTGCTCTCATTTCCTCAACATATGGGGCTGGCATTTTTGGAAAGAAGAGTAACCTCTTGTTTTAGTGACGAATTTTGTTATTGTTATTATTATTTATATTTATATTACTTTAAAAACACGAAAGTCCTTAGAATTTCAACATTTAACTTTGTGTCCTTTGCTGAAAGACAATAACATATACAATTTTCATTTACTATTTTCCTTAAATTATTAATTAATTATCCTTATAAAATTTAAGATAAAGGAAATCCAAAAATATATGGTAAAAGGTACAAAGAGAATTAATAATTAAGGATTCTTAAAATATATGGTACGAGAAAAATATATTTTAAAAATTAAAGAATCCTAAAATATATGATAAAGAGAAAAATATGTGGTAAGACTTCTAACGTTTCTCTCATCAACATAACTATAAGACATGTCAATGCCTCTAATTTAGTATTACAAGTGTGATTATTTATATTGATTGGCAATTGTTGCTCAGTGCTTAATGATTTTGATAGAGGAAATATGATAGAGAAGGGCACACCCACTTGTATTCACGAAGCGTTGATTTGGTTATTGTGTACTTGCATGTTCAATGTTTGAGGATCTGGATATGCCAAAAGGATGAAATGCATTTATATCTATACACATGTAAGTGTGGAGTGAACCTATCTGCGTGTTTTATACTAATAATTATATACTCATTACTAATCTTAGTCAACCTATGATGCCTACCAGTACATACTATTTATACTGATACTACTCCTGGCACTTTCTTTTGAGTGTAGATTGTGATCCAGAAACATCCACGCATCCTCACATTTAGCACAATTACATTCCAGATTTGAGAGAGTTACTTTCATCCAGGTTATTGCAGATCTTCTCCTGATTTGATGTCTTTCTTTTATACATTGATACTCTTTATTATTTATTATAGCTACTCCAATTTTAGATTGAGTTTTTTTTGTATGATGACTTTTAGATTCTGGGAATGTAATAGCTAAACTTCTATTTATTTTTATTTATTTTATCGTAAGACTTTTAGTTATTATGCCATGCTTCTTAATTTTGTGTAGAGACTTATATATTGCATGTGTTAGACGCTTATGTTTGGCTCATCCATAGGGGGATTGGTGTGGGTGTCAATTATGATGGTTTGAATCATAAAAAAAATATGTAAGACTCTTCTCTAGATTGATCATTTACCCCAACACCATCTCATAATTTTTTAGCACTTTCATCATCTTTCTCATTGAAGTAGGCTGACTTAAACAAAATAAAATGGTGTCATCTTCAGAGGACAAGTGATTTATCTTTGGACTCCACTTAGGCATATATATCCCTTGTACTCTTGATCTTCAAATAAATTATTCAAACCCCTTGCTAATACCTCCACTGCACTAATGAAAAGGGTTGGGGATAAAGGATCTCCTTTCTTAAGACTTATGAATAATTGAAAAATATCAAATGGTTGACCATTCATTAAAACTGAATACCAGATTACTAATAAGTCTCACAATCATATCCGTGATTCTTTCTGAAAATTCAAATCTTGTCATTACCTTGGCTAGAAATTTTCAAGACACCTTATCATATGCTTTAGTCATGATGTCAAACTTGACTACAACATTATGAAACATGTTTCTCCTATTGATGTCCCTAATTATTTCTTGTGACAGCAACACATTCTGATCAGTAATTAATTTTCCTCCTTTTTATAAAATCAGTTTGATTAGCTAAGATAATCCCTGAAATATCAACTTTAATTATTCTCTCATGTACCACTCTAGAGATAACCTTATTAATTAAAGAACTTAAGCTAATTGGCCTCACTATTAAGCAATACTTGCATAAGTTCATTGATTTAAAAAATCATAGCCTTTCAAAGATACTATCTTCCTCTATTTTTCCATTCCACCATGTGTAGAGACTTCCTGAAAATTTAAGTTCATTTAAGACACAAGTACTTATCCATTGAGAAAAATCAACAATTTCCTACTGAGTCACTAGCAAGCCACCCATGTTTTTTAGAGTTATCTAAAATAGTATTTAAATCTCCTCCCACCAGCCAAGGAGTGTTAGTATGTTCTGCAATATCCTCCAAGTATTTTCATAGTTCTACAATGACATTAAAGTAATCAGTCGTGTCCCTCAGTTGATAAATCATACTCCCTCCGTCCATTTTATTAGAGGTAGTTTAACCCGGTACAAAGTTTAAGAAAAAAATAAAATTGAAACTTATGGTGTAAAATGAATGATAGAAATTTGTGTGGCTATAAATCATTTTATTGAGGGTAAAATGTATATTTTAAAGTTAAATTGCTACTTAATATAAAATTGTGTCATTTTTTTTTAAAATTGATTAAAAAAAAAAGTAAGTCATATAAATTGAGACAAAGGAATTAGTAAGTTGTTTTATAGTATCTGATGAGCCTTGTTCCACCCATTCTCCTCATAGAAAATTCAAATTTTAATTGAGCTATTCACCTTAGAATTAGGCAATCCTAAGATTTTCTATAGTTTTGGGCTTTGAAAAGGCTCTAGTAAAGTAATGTGGGGGTAAAAGTGTCTCGTACATATATGCGAGTCTACTAATCCTTTAAAAGAATTTTGACTTCTTGCTGATCTAATATTCCAAAATATGACCTTATTGACTTCTTTTCATTCTTTATTCGTATAAACATGATAAAAATGTATTTTAAATGTTGATCAATTGTATGACATTTGAAAGTCAAAATATTTTTTTAAAGAAGCAATTTAATATTAAAAAAAGTTGCAGCATTAATATTAAAATCCCATATATTGTATTGAATAGTGTCTTAAAAAGTACGGGTTGAGAAAGGCATGTATACATGTGATCGGTTGTAAGTTACGCAGGACAAATATACCCATGAACTATCGTATATGGTATACAGATACCCTCTGTCATATTTTTGGACATTGGTGCCCCTGTCGTCCAAAAACTAGATCATATATACCCTTTATACTAACGGATATACACGCGTCATAATTTATCCACCGACCTAACATTTATTAAATATTGGATCGACGGATAAGATTGCGCCACGTATCCCTATTTAGTCTTTTCATTAGAGTGAAGGGCATATGCGCTCTAGTTTTTGGACGACAGGGGCAATAATGTCTCAAAAGTATAACAGAGGGTATCTGCATACCATTTACGATAGTTCGGCGTATATTTGTCCTTTTTCCCTTAAATAAATTAACAAAAGAAGCATACAGAAAAAAAAAATAGAATTGCTTACAAATGATAGAAAATTAAAGAAATTACAAAATTAGTCAGAAAAATATTTAAAAGAATCTTTTTTTTAAGTTGAAAAGCAAAAGAAGAAAAGATACATTACACTTGTAACATGGTTATAATTGAACATACTTGTTGTAATAATGAATTCTCCTAACAATTCAAACACTCGTTGTAACACAAATAGAAAGTGGACCTCATGGTCAACTTCAGTTGACATCAACTATTATTTAGATACTAGTATACGTGTCCGCATGATACGCGGATAATATTGAAGTATTATTTTTAAACACTTTAGATTGTGATGTTTTGTACAGACATGTTAAATGATATTACCTTTAAAAAGATCTAACCATCATATTGTTCCTCAATGAAATATATTCCTCCTTCCCGCGTCCCGCCTCACCCAACCCCGTATCCCCATGATAGAGATAAAGAATCATGTTTTAAATTGTTAATATTAATTTTTTATTAGCTTCACTTGGCTTAATATATTTATCAAGTGCTCTTCTTATTAATATAAACCATATCTAGTTATTTTGTGATTTTTTTAATTTGTATTTTATTATTCACATCACTTCAATTTATAATATATGAACACTAATAAGTGTGTTATCTAATTACCTCATTATATTTTCAAAATATTATCTCCCCCACCCCTCCCTCCCTCTTCATACTTTTTTTTCTACTATACTTTAATTATTTTTCGCTAGTTTGACTTTGAATTTATTTATGTGTAATAAACAATTGAGTTTTCTTATTTTTTAGTTTAATATTTGAAATGTTGAGTTTGAATTTAAGTAAATTATTTTTTTGTATTTTAATGTTCATTAAATTCATTAGTTATTGAGATTTTAGTTACGTGGTATATATAATTTAAGACTTTTGAATTTAAGTTAGTACTTAAATTTTTATATTTCATACTTATTGATTAGAAAATATTTTTCATCTAAATGAAAGTCGTGCTCTTCAAATTTTTTACATTATAATTTATAAATTATTTTCTAATTTTGTCCTGATTTACCGTTAATGCATTGATCAATAATTACGACTTTTCATTACTGCATAAGAAATGACATTATACACTTTATACATGTTCTCTTTTTGACATGTATAATTTGTAAATTAATCAAATAAATTTACATGAATTAATTAGTTCATCCTAGAATTTATGAATTCAAATATCTGCAAATTGAACTAAACAACAGGTTGAAAAAATAGAAGAAACTTTTGTACGGTTTTTTGTTTAATAATAAATGGCTCATAGCCTTTTGGTTAAAAAGAAAATAGAAGAAAATGAACTGTTTCTTTTTTTTAAAATAAAATTCATGTAGTCCTTTTTCTCAAGTGGCATCCTCATCTTTCTATAAAATTTCAGAAGTAAGTTTTGTTTAAAGAATGCTTGAATATATTTTTTTATTTGGTGAACACGACTATCACTTGCTTCTAATTTAATTTTCTCTAAAAAAAATATACTCAATTATTCTAATGTAACATAAAGAAAAACCCATTAAAAATGAAATTTTTTTCTCTCTGTTTTTTCTATTACCTCCCATATATTATGTGTGAGATTGTAACTATTCATATTGATTTTACTCTTACAAAATGGAACACTTTTTGAAATACTAAAAAAACTAATACAAAATCAACATAATAGAATACTCTTACAAAATAGAACATTTTTGAAATACTAAAAAAACTAATACAAAATCAAATAGAGGAACGACAACCAAATCTAAATACCAATTGAGTTCAATATATGCTAATAAATCACATAAAAGGAAACATTTTAATATCTGCTTTAAAAATGAATATAGTAGGACTAAATTATGAAAGAAGAAAATATGAGATGGAGAAAACAATTATCAAAGTAGTAATTTGTGTACTTAAAATATCCAAAGATAGCATAAATAATCCATTGTCATAAAATATTTCAGAATATCTTCATT